GCCGTTCGTACAGCACGGGATCTAGGGGCAAAGTCAGGTTGGGAGCTGGGGATGATCGAGTAGTACGGCTTTACCAGCGAGCTCGTGCTCCAGGTTATCAAAGTATGAGGGATGTCGACTGAGGTACTCTCGCCTTCGGTTCTGCGCTTGAATCTGTGCAGTCCGAGATGGAGATTTGGGTACGCGCGGGACGGGCTTGTCTGGTTGCTCGCCTAGAGGTTTTATAGGAGCCATGAGGATTTATCTGTGATATACAGTATTAATATTGTTGTAGTGACAAATATTGTAAGTTCTTAATGGTTGACCGACAGAAAGGTTGGTGTATGCTGGAGGCGAATTGATGCGCGCCCAATTATGTCAGCTTCTTGAGCTGTTCAGGTCCCCCACTTCTCATCATCCACCATTCGCAACATCTCGAAATATGAGATTGGCGTGTAACAAACAGCAAGACCTTATGTATTTGGTTGCCAAAAGCATATACTTGTTATGCACTCTTCTACTGTTACCGTTTCCTTGCTTTATACTCTCACCCAAGTCTGATACGTTGAAGAAAATCACTGATGAAATGGCTGCAATCACCTTCAGATTGTGTGTCATTCTTCAACAAAAAGAAGATACTCCAACCGGGGGAATATGCCGCCAAGCCTGACCTTTCTGGCGATGTCATGGAAAAGGGCCGCGTAAAGTTTGTTATGCTCCGGCTCCCAATGGCTTCATTGAAGGAGAAGCTGGGTCTGGGGTATCAAGCCACGGGGCACAAACGGCGCAATGCATGAGCAGCACTGCAGCATGTGAACTCATTGTTACATGTGAGATGTGACACAACCTCAAGAAATGGAATGATCTCAAGACGCCAGTTTTTGACTCTGAGAATCTCTTGACGAGAGATTCAGATTGACAACAGAGTCCAAAAATCAGCCCCAACGTCGAATGGACCAGGGACCCATCTTTAAAGAAGACTTTCGGAAGCCTGTTGTCAATATTTGACAGGTGAAGCGATGGTCTGAGCGGAAAATAAGTCGAATTGACCTGGATGACCCCTGTCGATGGAGACGCTCGGGTGGTTTTTGAATGGATGTAACCATCTCGAATGGGTGCAATGAGCTAGCTGTGCATTGTACGGAGTACAGCTCGAGCCAATGCAGGCTCGGCTTAAAATTACCTGGCCAAAAAAACGAGCGCGCAATCACGATCATAACGAGGCCCGAAAGCACGCCTAAAAACCAAGCTTGCTTGCCTGCTTGTGCTTGTGCTTGTGCTTGATATCCTGGGGGGAAAGCTTTGGCTCTGGATCCCATCGACACTGCAACAGCGGATCTACCCCTTGGAGATTATTATTTTTTTTTTTACTTCCGTGATATCCATGACAGGCATTTTCTCTTCTTTTACCTGACTCTGGTCTTCATTCTTGAGATCGTCAGGTTCTTTTATTCCCCTTTTAATCCTTATCGGCCTCGCTTGTTGATACCCTGTTCCGAGAGCTTTGCCTGTCTGCTTGTCCATCGATAATATTGCGAAGCTCGGTACAGACCATTCACTCGCAATTTTTGCTGTCTTCACTCATTCGCTCATTCAGTATTCGTCTCCTTTGTCTAGATTAATTCTTTAACCGAATTTCGCCAACAGTTGGGCCGTTGTCTTAGTCTCCCTGTTATATCACCTCACCTTCGAAACTCCGACTCCACGTCCCGGTCGCGTCCTGCCACCAAAGGATGCCAATGTCGACCTAATGGGAGCTACTGATATCGCCTCGCGCCTTCGAGCCAAGTTCACCAAAAGGAGACACTCGACGGCAGGTTCACAGGCATCTTCCAGTCGGAGCATTACCGACACCACCTCGTCGTCGTTCGGGAGTCGTCACTTATGGGATCGCGATCGTTCTCGAGCTCGTGACGGAGACGGGGACCACTCGTCTCAGCGGGCTGTGAGCAATTCGAGGGGCACCGTGAGTAGCCGACGTGGCATGACAACGACGCCTGATGGTTCGCATCGACAACGAGAAGATGGCGATGACGTTGCAAAGCTCGAGGGTTCTCGAGAGGTTTCAGAAGCAGCAAAGTCAAGCTCAAACTCAAACTCAAATTCAGAGTCGGCAGCCAAGAGTTCCTCGGAAATAGGTGCTGAAGCAGCGGTCCCACCCGCTAACGACAATTCCACAGCGCCCGACACCACGAGCGAGCCACTGAAACAGCCGTCTCCGCCTATAGATCAGCAGAGCCTCGATGACCTGGATGAAGAGCCTGATACAACCGCCACTAGCTCTAGCGACCAGCTCCCGCCCCATAGCGATCTGCACCCGCCACAACCTCATCCAAGACTTCACTTCAATCAACCTCCATTGCTCTCTCCGTCACTTCATCCTTCGGAACAGCCTTCACCATCGCGTCAGCGCCAGGCAAGCTCCAATCTCGACCGTATCCACGAAGACTCCCAGGACTCGGAACCCCCGTCACCTACTGCGCGCCCAAGAAAGGTCGCAAATCTTGAGTTGGACGCTGGTTCTGAGCTTGCTGGTCACAATGACGACGACGTGTTGAGTCTCGACCAAGCCCCCAACTCTCCAAAGTCTGCCGTCTTTGTGCCTCTGGCGGCAGGAACCTCGACGACATTTGTCGCAACGTCTCCTGGTCTTCCACAAGCTGGAACCCCTGGCTCTTCGTCACGACCAGCCCCGCCGCCCCGACGACAAAGCTTGCTGTCGAATCGCCAGACGACTTTGATTAATACGCTCCTTTCACCATCCGCAAACGAACCCGGATACAATCAGACCAGCTCATACGCGCCTATCAACGGAAATATGGTGACCCGAAAGATCTGGGTCAAGCGACCTCATGCCTCGCCGACCCTCGTTACCGTCAACGAAGACGACCTGGTCGATGATGTCCGCGATATGATTCTACGTAAATACTCAAACTCACTCGGTCGAAGCTTCGACTCTCCAGACATCAACATACGCATTATTCCTCGCGATCAACATTCAGAACGTGTTCTCAACCCTGAGGAGCCAATGGGCCGGACTCTTGATGCTTATTATCCAGGTGGACAAACCGTTGAAGAAGCTCTTGTAATTGACATTCCAAGACGTGCGCCTAAAGCTTCCCCGCGCCCCGTCGTTCCAGCATATGTTGGTAACATCTACTACAGCGAGGACGGTCGGCCTACAGAAACAAGCGATGGCTACTTTCCTTCCGTCGCCGCCCATCCTGGCGCTGTCGGCTCACCACATCTTCCAGTTGCAGTTCCGGCGCATGTTAATCCTCAGGCCCCGCACTCAATCGCAGTATTAGGGACTGGCCATATCCCACCTATCCCATCGCCTGGTAGATCACGCGCATATCGCGATCGTCCGGATCGTCCCAGATTAGGCCGCACTCATACATCGTCGCCAACACTGATTGCTAATGGCTCTGCCGTGTCACTGGCTGCCGCCGCCGCCGCGAATCATGCGAACCATGGTACGCAACACTTCAACCCGAGGCTACCGCATTCACGAACTCATTCAAACTCTTCAGATCAACCTGGTATGCCACCTGCTGCCCCTCCTCTACCGACACCTCCCGCCCCCGAGCCTTCGGCAGTTCGCGTATCGACACCTCCAGTCAGGCCAGTTTCACCTCGACCTACGGCGAAAACCAAGAAGAGTAAAAAGGCCGAACACCCTAGTTTACCGCCGGGCATGCTCAATGGCGGCGTGCCTCCTATCAATGTCCTGATTGTGGAAGATAACCCTATCAACTTGAAACTTTTGGAAGCCTTTGTGAAGCGCCTCAAGGTGCGATGGTCAACCGCCATGAATGGACGAGATGCTGTAAAGAAGTGGAGGAGTGGTGGATTTCACTTGGTTCTGATGGATATTCAACTTCCAGTCATGAACGGTCTCGAAGCGACTCGTGAAATTCGAAGATTAGAACGAGTTAACTCGATTGGTGTCTTTTCATCATCTCCCGATGGTGTGGTCACGACGGAAAACCCTGACGAACTAGACGACAAAGACCGCCTGGAGAATCCTTCCTTGTTCAAGAGTCCTGTGATTATTGTCGCTTTGACTGCTAGCTCCTTACAGAGTGACCGACACGAAGCTCTAGCCGCTGGCTGTAACGACTTTTTGACCAAGGTATGTAGATCGCACTGACAAGCAGAGATAAGTAGCTAACTCATGATACAGCCCGTCAATTTTGTCTGGCTAGAGCGCAAGGTAATGGAATGGGGTTGCATGCAGGCCCTCATCGACTTTGACGGCTGGCGCAAGTGGAAGGAGATTTCTCAAGAAGCTGAGGAGACCGCCGCTGCTAAGAAGGCTGCAGTCGCAGCAGCCAAAGCCAAATCAAAGAAGAACCGACTCTCGATGACCAAGCCCGGTTGATAGCGCCAGTTGGATTTACGAAGATACATGCTTCCGCACAACAGGTCCGGTCTTGACATTAAAATATACGCCAGGAAACAACAAATATTCTGGTAAAATTCGAGATGAGCCAAAAACGAGTCATTGGTATTATTCACCCGCCGAGGCAACAGCAAACATGAGTTGCCTCAAAGATCTGTCTGCTGCCTATAGTTTTCGCCATAGGATTAATGTTTGGCATTTGATGTTTGTTGGGAGCTGGGTAAGAAGGGAGTTGTATAATGGACGCAAAGCATGATGGCGCAGGTAACAGATACATATGAATACCAATGTTTATAATGCCATGAGACTTGAATAATACATGTCGAGAAGACGCAAGCTATAGTTCGAAGCTGCAGAGTTAATGATGTTTCTGACGAGGTGAATCTAGAGCTCGAGTAAGCTTCAGTGAACGAGATAAGTCCAGTCCATATATTGTACCGAGCTTTGAGACTTAATTAATTAATTAATTAATTAATTAATTACTTCTCATCTCATCTCTTGGACAAGAGCTTCCATCACTGTCCCACTGGCTTCCGCCCCATCTTGTGTGGATCGCGAGGTTGGTGATGTCGGGCCGGATAATTAAACCCTCCGGGTGATGAAAATTACTGCACACTTGGAACAGCATTAAACATCTCCAAACAAGTGCAGCCTTTTCCGACCTGACATCCAACCAATTCTAATCAATTGGTCCTGGGTCGCATGTAATGCAGCAGAGAGTCAGAGAGAATCTGAAGCCGCTGTAACCATGCCTCCTCGAGTGCGCGGTGCATCGACGCCGCTGGCTGGCCTCGATGCCACCATTTCCCTCTCCACGAGGACCTCCTCGTCTCCGTTCCTCCGAACCTTCTCGACAACGCCATGCCGCGAAAAGATGAGCAAAGGTCGTGCGCAGATGTTCGAGTGGTTGAACTCAGGCAATGGCAGAAATCTCGCCGAGCCTGGCAACGGTCCTAATTACCTCGGTCCTCACAATGATCAGCCTTTTCCTCTCAACCCCCTCTTCCGAAGTCAGCCTGTGCTCTCTGATGCGACGAGGGAGATCATCTATGAGAAGGTGACGGCGAAGGGCATGTCTCTGAAGGCGGTGTCTGCTGAAATGCACATCGACGTGAGGAGAGTTGCTGCTGTTGTGCGACTGAAGGAGGTTGAGAAGCAATGGCTCTCCGAAGTAAGTACCATCCCAGTGAAGCTCTATCTGCCCTGCTATATGATGAGACCAAACAAAATTTTCGATTAGTCTTGAAGACACATACATGGTTATCCTTTTAATACTCTGATAGCATCATCTGATTTTGGGCTTGCTTTTTTACTCTTCCGATAGCAATGCTAACCAACCTCAAGGGCAAGCAATTAGCAACACCTTACGCCAAGGCAGTTATGAAGATGCTACCCAAGACACATTACAATGAAGGCGAGGAGAATATACCTCACGAGCCTATCAACGAGATTCACGTACACAACCTTACTCTGCAACAACTATTCACACCAGTGTCTGAATCCCGCCACTTCACAAGAGAAGACGCCGCCAAGGCCTTCCACGACAACATGCTCTCCGCCGATCAGCGATCACCTCAACCCGAGCTCATCAAGATGGAGCAAGACATCATCAAGGGCACTGCACGACCAGAGGCAGTAGCCAAGTTCCAGGCAGTCACACAGGCAGACGAGGACAGAGTAGCCAAGAAGATTCTGAACGAGCGCAGGCGTGAGGAGGAGCGAACGAAGCGCGTCAAGACAGATCGCTACGAGTTCCGATTTAAGGAGATCAACGTTGATGATGTTGGTCGTGATGGTCGATCAAGGAAAGGTACTGGTTGGCGGTATGGTGCGCCGTTCGAGGACCGCAAGCGTGGGTTGGTCAAGATTCCTACGTCAGTGCCTTGAAGTGTATGAATATTTATGGGATATGGGGTGGCGAAACTGTACTATACGAATACCAACGCCATGTATTAATTAGACATGGACTGTATACTCGTCCAGAGATGATGAATAGCGCTTGCATTTTTGTATGTGATCCTCTATAAACATGCTCAACCTGTGCCATTGACGTTGATGTTCATCATAGTCCTGAGTCGTCATTCATAACTCATCGACACTACTGCCTGCTCTCCTCGGGCACGATCAAGTTCTTTCGAATCTGCTCAAGATCCTCCACTGTCAGACCACAGTTCTTTACCACATACTCCTCGACAGAGCCATGTTGTTTACGAAGTGCTTCCAAAGCAGCAAGCATGTTCTCGGGCTTGGCTCCCAGTAATCGTTGAGCACCTTCGGGGTTGGCTCTCAGTTCAGGACTCTTCATCACAGCAGCAAGAAGCTCCTCACGAAAGTCACCAAGGCCAACCTCAGTCAAACCATACTCATGAGCAATAGTGCCTTCATCCACGCCGCATATAGACAAGATGAAAGCGCAGACTACACCAGTTCTATCCTTGCCTGCAGTGCAGTGGATGAGTAGGGGTGAAGGATCCGGTCTGGCAAGATGTGAGAGAATAGTGTTGATAGAATCCGTTCCCGTCTCCCAAATTCCCCGATACGCCTCAACAAATCCCTGACTCCCTTCGGCGGTGTAATTCCGAAAGCGCAATGCAATAGCCTCCGGACCGTAATCCTCGTCTAAGAACACCGGAGTAAAGACCCGTTGGGCGCCGGGCCACTCTCGGGTTCCTGTAGCGTAGCGCTCGATCTCAGTTCGCGAGCGCAGGTCGTAGACGTGTGAGATCTTGAGGTCCTGTAGCGCCGAGACGCCGTCTTCGGTGAGACGGGATGGCTCTGCTGAGCGGAAGATGAGGCCGGATCTGATTGTGTATCCGGGGCGGGACTTTATAGGCAACGGATGGCCCCCGAGATCTCGGAAGTTTGCGACGCCGGCGATGGGATGGAAAGGAGGGCCGAGGTTTGCCATGATTTAGATGTGGTAGAGTAGTTGGATAGTGATGATTTTTGCTAAGATCTATTACAGGTAGAATTATTATTGCAGTGGCCCAAGGCAGACCTTGTCAACAAGAGAGCCAGTTCACATATGGCGGTTGTTGGTGGAGGTGGGGCGTCATAAATCATGCCTCGGTCCAGAGACGGGTATAAGTCACTGCCAAATCTAGAGCCTCTTACAACTAAACGATGTTTCTGTTTAAATATTATCCATTCGTTGTCTAGACACGTAAGTTTAGACTAAAGCTTTGTCTCATTTTGGAAGTTACAAGTTTGTCCATGTCCACAATCACATAGACCTAGCACTGGTAGGCCAGCAATAAAGAGTCACTTTGAAGGCAATGTTGTTAAAGAGCGTGAGTAGTTGGATTTTCTATGGGAAACAAAGGAAAGTAAATCAAAGCAAGCGCGAGCCCCTCTTCTAAGTTTTTGAAAGACCAGGTATTTTAAGCAAAAAGCCCAAGGCGAACGTCCTCCAACTCCTAAGATCTAGGCCATCCACTTCTCCTACTAATACAAGCTGAAACAGTCTGCAAGAAGCGAAAGATAAGACCTCAGTGTCAAATCTACCTGAGTCTGATGTCCTAGGTCTTAACAGTAGATACAGCTTCTGCAGCGAGGGACCTGACAGGCAGGACATAGAGGATTATTGTCGATGCTCTGCCAGCCGCAGTCGCAGTTGCACTACATGGATTAGCGTTGCTCTAATATGTTAGAAATTAGAATTCCGGTTGACTTACGCATTGCCATTGGGACAAGCCGTCGACGAGCTGTCCACGGTTGCCAGCAGAGCAGGCGGTGGAGGCGCTGGAAATTGTTAGAGACTACTTATGTCGGTAATGGTAGTGGATGTTTCGGACTCACAAGTTGATGGCAGCCATGGCTAATGGTATTGTTGGGTTGTTTAAGTAGTAGAGTTGAGTCTTTGAGCTAAGAGATGTAGTGTTGGTATCCGTAGACACAAGATGTGCTATAGTCTTGATGAGGTTTGGTGAGTGAAGAAGTGTGTTGGTATCATGATCAGAGATATGCAGATGGCCATGGTTATATAGAAATCTATGAACAATTCAATTCAAGGCGTATATGATCCAGAGGCCTGTAAGTTCCGAGTTCCATCCAGCAACAAGTCCATTGTAGTTGGCACAAATCACACGAGATGAAGTCCAAGTCAGTGAACAACAGGGATTAAAGTTCGAGGCGATAGCAGTGCCACCATTGGTACTATAGCTGCGATGATTATCTGCTTGAAAGCAAGTTTCCATCTTGTTAGTGGGAATACGAAGCAAGTTTGCAATAGTCATTGTTTGGCTGAGAAGCGAGGGAGATAGGATGAAAGAGGGATGCCTCAGGGGGCTACTACAGGACGATTGAGCATAGCCCTGTTTCTGGAAGATTTAGGCTCATTGTTCTTCGCAAATTCGAAACACTTGATTAGGTTTGTTTGTTAGATCAAGGCAGCGACTATGAATCAGTCAGGAGTCTTGTTTAGGATGGAGTCTCGTCCCGTATGCGAGGCGATGCTGGAAACTAGACTGTGCCCCAACAGCATGCAGTTACAGCTAGGCAAGATTATGGGGAATAATACGGCATTTAATTCATTCTATCATCCTAACTCGCCTCGTATTCACGGACCCTACAGAGGAACCGTTCCCTCAATTCAATGTTGAGGCTCTGCGTGGATGCGGCTCAAAATCTCATGTGACTCAACGAATTGGTTGGTAGGCTGAGTCAATTGAAACAACACCGCCCCCCGCCTGTTCCCTGCCAGACCATGTGGCTTTCTAGCCAATGACGTCCAATCGATCACTGTCTCAGGCATGAGTTTATTCGTCCCGTCTCTAACTCCTCAGAAGCGAGGGCTGGAGTGATAATGGCACTGCCAATATGAGCATTTCAACATCGTATCTTCTCTCGCACTTCTGGGATTCTAATCCTCGTTATTGGGTTTAGCGTTTACCGGAAACACCGTATTACTCGAGGCATCTGCAGCCAAGAACGATGATGCTACACATGTTCCTGTATAAATCCGGGGTTTTGGGTGAAGCAAGTCTACCCTATTCTCAGCACTTTCAACGATCACATTAAAGTCATGGTGAGGAAACAAATTAACATAGCCTCGTAAACTATCAAGGGGATAAGCTTATTCGATTGACTCAGGCAACGATGGTTATCCTCGCCAACAGTGGAGACGTGCTTGTCATGAGTGAGATGGTTGGAGCTATCCAACCCAATCAACACTTTGGTCCCTCGTTTTCTCACCGACTTCCCAAAACCGCATCAACCACATTGGACTTCTCATGGAGATTAGCGTAGTCAACTCACATGCCACTCTTACGAACATGTGATTTTCAACTCAAGTTAATTTCCCACTTGTCTCATTATGTGAATCTCAAAAAGTCACGCTTGAAATTGTCATGCGCGCCATTAATTTCGCTGACTAACTTGGTAAGCCTCAACCAATATGATGACCTCAAAACTTCGAGAACTCTTCTTTATCAGCACTAGTTTCTCGAGAACACCTGATCTAAAACATTTGCATTTTCAACGATGCACATTTCTGAACCACAGGTCGAATTCCGTTTTTGTTTACGGGGCGACAATATTGCAGGGCGGTCGTGATAGTGATGTAAGATCTCAGTTCGAACTGTTGGCGTTGACGTTGACGTTGAACTTTGAAAAGACCCAAACTCAAGGTTGGAAATTACCCGCTAAACTGATAAGCTTTAACAACTCATCCGCTAACAATTTTCAGCTCAGCATGACTTTCTCTTCCTTGGTTGAAGGGATCATAAGGCGGTCTCTAAGAACGGAAGTTCAATAATCCGAAGCCTTTGGAACAGAGACTCAGGGTCTAGATGTCAGAGTCAGGGGTCATACAGCAACTAAAACAAGCTTGCTTTGAACTACGTCATAGGTCATATCAGTGAATCACGACAATTTCCAAGGGTGAAATTAGATTCTCTTAAGTTTTAGGTCGATCTCGCTTCTTAGGTCGCAGGAATGACGGCAGAGGCTTCCCCTTCCGTACGCTATTAATTAACTGGCGGTCTACCCTACGAACGAGTTTTTCGCCAAGGTTGACAATTTGCACGCCCAGTCAAAGTGACGCTTCAGTGACCAGCTCATTTTCTTGACTCATCCTAATAAACCCGCGATCCTCTTTCTTTTGCGTCTGAGTCTGCGATCAACTAATCACTGACCCGCTCAGACCGACGATAACCTCATCTCGTCAATCTTTTCTCGTAATATCCACCCCCTTTGCGACCCCGTTCGAATTGCCGACACAAAGCAAACCAAAGCGACCAAAGCGACCAAAGCGACCATGGGTATCAAGGATCTAGCTATTAGCTATGTGGTGTTTTCCACCATCCACTTGTTCCTATTCGCACTGGCTCTGACCACTATCGGTTTGTATGGTACCGACCTTCATAATGCGAACAAACAGGGCAAATACTCTGATTCTAAGTGGGTGAGTGACTCGCTCCCTCCGTTCGTCAACGTGCAAATGCACATTGTTACAATGCAATACAATACAATACAATACAATACAATACAATACAGTGCTGACAAAAGTTCAATGCACAGGTCTACGCCGTGGTCGTTGGTAGCATCTCCGCCGTGACGTGTGTACTCTACTTTATCCCGTTTGTACTGCGTGTCGCCGGCTTCGTTGTCGCGATATGGGACTTTATTCTATTCGTCCTCTGGATCGCCCTCTTTGGCGTCTTTGGCAAGGTACGTTCTATCATCAAGTGCTTACTGCAAACGATCGGCGGCATCATTTGGCTGACATTGTGAAACCTGCAGATGTACATCAATGAGGACGCCGAGGGTGACGGTGGTGTCAGACGCATGAAGAACGCGGTCTGGGTCGATCTCGCCAGCGCCCTACTCTGGCTCATTGCTACCTTGGCGGCCCTGTCCTACTGGTGGAAGCACCGTGACACTCGATCCCGCTTTACTGGCCGCGCTCGCGTCTGATCAAACACAAACGAGCGCATCAAATCCCCTCAGAAAGAGACGGCCATATTGAGGATGGTTGCATATGGGATACACAAATGTAACTCACGACGGAGATATTCGGCAATGGTAATGGAACGGTAATGGGAGGGAGGCCTGCAGGACGGGCTGTTTGTGTGGGCGTGTTTTGTGTGTCTGTATGCTGGGATGGGAATGGATGAGATGAGATGAGATGTTGGCACGACTTTGATACCATTGTTTTCTTCTGTGTTTCCTTGCTTTTCCTTTTTCGACAAAGACTGCTTGTTCCTGAAACACTAATACCTGCATCGAACTCAAAATTTATCACTATCAACTGAATCGAGAATATCACACTTATTAGTGCAACCATCTACGGCAGCCTCCCGTACGGCGTGCAACATCCTTTGTGAGATGGGTGGCTAGATCTACCAATGGCCACCGGCATGAGTGAAACTTGCTTAACCAATGGACAGTCAACGGGCAGTCACTGTAAGATTCATGCTGTGAAATCACCATGGACATTGGCATTGGCAATACAAAGCCAAGAAAGTGCAGCTTGCCGAACCACCGTTTACGCCAAGACAGAGTGATATCCGAGATACCCTTTCGTAGTACCCTGAAGAGCGTCGATATGGCACCACCACGGAGAAGGATGTTGCACCAGTTCGACCAGGACCTAAAGCAGAAAAGAGAGAGAGAGAGTAAAGAGGGGCGAGCGTCGATCGTCGATCGTGGACAGGCTCGCCTCCAACGCTTCCGAGGGGTGATGTGACGATGACGGATTTTTTCTCAGAGGGAGAAGGGGTCTTTTCCTTTTTTCAAGGGTCTGGCGTTTGACTAGCTGCATCTACCGCTCTGACCTTTGTGTCTTGACCCTGACCCTCAAGGGATTAGGATTTTCAACTCACGGGCAAAAGCAAGCGGCGCTTGTGAGCGGGCCAAGCCAAGCTACTCTCTTGCCATGACGTCGATCAGATGCCTGATGGAAGCTTCAAGTGGGGGCCGCTTCTAAAAGCCCGTTTGTTTTTGGTGCAAGGATCTGTTGATCTCTTGTCTTCTTTGTTGATACCAGCGGAGATGTTGGGCAGCGTTGCTGGTGATGTGAGTGTTGATCGTAGCCTGTAGAGGCGGTAAGTTAAGCGATAAGAAATGCACGTGGGAATATTCTACGACATTTGACATTGAATACGAGCGGTCAAATGCTCAAATGTCTCATTTATACCGTCTTTTTTTTGGTTGATGGTGGTTGTGAGTGAGCAAGTTGTAGTGTGGTGATACGAGGGTCTAAGATTGCGAATACCCATAATGGGAATTGTTAGCAAATGCGATAATAAGTTCCTGAATATAATACTGACCACGTATTATTCACCCAAGAACTGACCTTGCATGTACATAATACCTATAGTACGGTACATACATGCATGCAAAATTGTCTCTCCACAAAGAGTGACTGTGACAGTCTTCCAAGACTTGGAAATCAGAATATTTCGCGGAGTCGGATAAATACACCGTTCAAACGGCGTCATTGACCAAAAACAAACCAAGGAGGGGTCTTGTTTTCAAAGGGTCCCTACAGCAAATCTCAGGGACTAATTCGTTAGTTTGCTGCGTCTAGGACGTTGACCGCGAGTTCTAATTCGTCTCTGCAAACGCATCGTCACTTTTTCATCTGAGTCTGGCGTGGACGGGATGGCACAGCAAAATAAAACCAAAACCTGTGCTTGGTTTCTTTGTTTGCGTTGGTGGCTTTTGAGTGGCTCACAGGGTCGTCCCGCATGTATTTCCTTGGCGTTCTGTACGGTGACGGCGCATGCAACCAGGTACAAATCAAGGGTCACCCCAGCAGAATGTGCCTCAAAGGTCCTAGTGGGATACCTGCCAAACTCGTGGTTGCATGTCGCATTTCCAGAACGGGTACCTTGTAGCGGGTTCCAGCATCGGAAACATTGGGAAACCCGCTGCAGAGGGTCACTGTACAAGGTGGAAGCGATCCACTAAACCTCGCCTTGCCCTGGATCTTGGGCTTCTCTGGCTTCTGGCTCTCGTCCCGATGTTCCTCGCTTGAGATACTCGGGAGCTGATTTGCTGGATTTCCCACTTTTTGGGGGTTGGGAGGCGCTGGAAGGAACCAGGATGGAACGGGAGAGGCAAGATCAATTCTGGCATTGGATCCATCCATGGAAGAGTGTGTCTAGTGAGTGAGTGTGTCTCGCTTGCGATAACAAAACCGTTTCGGAACCCTTCGATTTTCATTTCTTAGGGAACCCTTCATTTCTCACCCAAATAGGCAAACACTTCACTCATCTTACTTACTGTACTGTGCTGCTGTGCGTGCTGCGCTGCGCTGCGCTTGCTTACATACTACACTGCAGTGTCATGTTGTGTTGTGTTGTGTGTTTGCCTTTAACAGTACATCTTGACGCCGCCATCACATTCTTGAGTTACAGCTACCTACTTTATTCATTCGCCTCACTTCTTTTTATCCGTCCTCCGTGGCATTCCGTCCAATACATTAAAAAAAGCCACTCTATCGTACTCTTATTATCTCTCTTGGCCGCCCTCCATTTGCGACACCGACACGACCTGCCCCTCACTGTTAATCATCAAATCTCCCCGACTGCCGCCGCTCTCCCCGTGAGCGCGCATTCATTCCTATCCACTCGATCCCCTGGTTCTTCTCAATCCTCCATATATACCTACTTATGCAGCGACGTTGGCGCTTGATTCAAGACTCGGGCTGGGTTCTCAGTCAGGCGAATAGCTATTCTCCAAGAGACCAAAGACTCAAACCTCAGACGTTGAATCACGACTGCAACGACGATATGGCCAGTTTCGCCAGAACCATCAAATCTCCTTACTTATCGCCTCGACTACGGCCTTCCATGCCGGGGCGCTCCATGTCTACGAATTCCGACCATTCCAACTCTCCTCAAAGCCCACGATCCGATGAAATTGTCGGCGAATTCGACTTATCTGGACGAAACACCCCAGCGATTCCATCCAAAAGACGGAATCAACCACGAGACGGATTCTTTGACCTTGATGACATTGATTCTCGCACTTCCTACTTTTCAGGTAAGTTAGCATTGACATTGGCATTGTACGGAATGCTTGGAATGCATATCCAATATCCAGTCGTTTGACCCCTGATTGCCCATCCATCCCTACCTCTCTCGGATGATCTTCCATCACCTGGCCTCAAGTGAGTGATCTCAACCTCTTTACGGCCGGACGTCGGGGCTATCCTCCGGCCGATGATCTCGGACGGAGACGGGCGGTGCTCAACCCGGCAGCTGGCATCGCATCGCATCGCATCGTGCAAAAAGCTCCGAGGCGAGACACGTTCTCCTGCTCAAACGTGGTTCGGCGCCACAAGTTCCCCCTCAACGAACCCAAGAGACTCTGGCACATGGCATAAGCTCTAGTTGTACACCACCAAAAAAAAGTATGTACAACGAATAGATGCGATGCTGTGTAAAGAAAAGGGGTGTAAGAGCCGCCTCCACGCTGCTGTCCCTGTCCCACAGCGCAATGCATCAATAGTTATGCCTATCAACGCTACTCAAGTTGGCTATTGGAACATCCTAACCAATGATGCATCCGGCGATTGACTGGCGCAAAGCGCGCGGGGCGGGATTGAGGTCTCGGGAGGCTCCCGCACCCCCCGTTTTCGAGAATGCCATATTGGCTTCTCGAGCTTGTCCATCTTCAACCATCAGATCAATCTTGAGTCGTTGCTCTTTGCTTGACTTGTCACGCTCCCCAATTTCCACAATTCTCCTCACTTTATTTCGCTCATCTTTTCCTTTTCCCCTCAAATCATCTGCCCCTTCTCCACCTCTTCTCAATCATTTCCGAGTCAAAATGTCTCTTGTGACGGGGATTTGACCATGCTTTATCGCGCTACTCATGTCTCTCTCCCCACACTCACTTCCCAGCCATCGCGGGGTAGTCTAGCGGCCCCCATCGACCATCCCGGGGTTGGCCGTTGAGTGACGCCTGGACTGGCCCTGAAGTGCACTACCGGCTTTTGCTTTAAAATGTTCTTATATCCCGTGCTATTCCTCAATTATCCTGTTTTCGATCTTGTTGTCATCGACCCTCCCGTCGTCACTACGCATTCGGTCATCGTAAACCTTATTCTTCTTACTGGACTTCCCTTTTTACTTACATGTCCCCTCTTTATTAGACGACAACGAGAAGTCTGCTCCTGGCACTCCCTCAGCTCCCTCAACCCCGCGTAGCCGCAGCCACGTTCGACCTATAGCTATCGATCTGCCTCAACTCAAGCGTTTCACTTCCGCTCCCGCACGCACGCCTCCCGAACCCTTATCTGCAAGAGGTGACCTTCCTGGGTAAGACATGCCATGTTCTCTCAATTCAATTCCATTCATCTTTACCACGTGGACTAACACCGTTGCAGAGGTTACTTTCCACTTCACGAGGATCCCAACAGTCGTGTCCATCGGCCACACCCTTTCCAACATCATCCCGACACTCGCATGAGTCGTCTCATCTCGGAATCTGGACCAATCTACGCGGACTCTCCCACTTCTCATCCAGCTCAAAGTGCAGTCATGTCTCACTCAAACACTCCCGTCGCCTCCTACCTTGCTCCAGGCTTCCATGACCACCCCGTCCCTATGGGCAAATACTACCCATCCAACTACGAAAGTAGAAATGGCGCTCAATCAAATCTGCGACCTCCCTTGTCTGGAAGCGTGTCGTCCAACGTCGGATCCGATTCCAGTGCAATCCCTCGTGCAAGTAGCCAGTCGAACCCCGAGAGCGAGCTGCGTCGCAAGTTACAACAGTATCAACGCGATATGATTGCACAAGCAAGCATGGCTGCAAATGAGCTCATTAGTAGCTCAGCCAAATCTGGCGATAAGCCTGGTTTGTCGCTCAATGACCTTCCTCTCCGGGACTCTCGCTTTGCTACTCCTGGCTGTCAGAAGCCCTTATCACCCAGACTCCTTCCCATGGGAAGTCCTGGCCCTGTCACCCCCATGGACCTTGAAGCCATTGGCGCTGGTGACTACATGAGTCGCTAAAAATATGGCAGCATTTCACAAATTTCTTTCTCTTACCAGTTACTGTGTTGGGATATTGAGATAGAGTGTCATATGCATACAGATTGAGCATGGTTCTTGCATCGAAACTGGCTGGACTTGTTATTTTCATTTGACAAAGGGCGTTGGTTGGAGATGAGCCCATCAGTGGCCTGACATTCCTCCTAGGTGGCATTCAGCGTGTTGTTTAACTGCATCTGGTACAATTTGATACCGTACGTGTTGAGGCATGATACCCATAGAATAAATTTCATTTGTGAGGGCTAAATGGTGACCACCGGGCCACCCATCTCCGCAGATAAGTATGTGCTGTTCTCCGTGATGTTAAAGTGACCCGTAGCCGAGGAGATGATAGTACCTTTTGATACAGCAAGCATGTCAGACGGTAGGACTAGGCAATGATTTAGGCAGTACCATTGAAGACCTTGTTCCCGTTGGATTATTTCCGTTTCGTGCTAGCTCCATCGTATACATCTATTCAGTGCTCATTTATATCTTGTGTTAATCCAGTCTGCAAAAGCCCTGCAAATGCATGTCACGAAAACGGAATAAAGAAGCAGACTCTGTTGACTCTGTCCTGCCAACAAGTCCTACTGTCGCAACAATACATATGAGTGAGATTGAGCTGAAACATGCAAATGATGCACTTGTTTCTGTTGCTTTGGTGCTGCCTGAGACTGAGGGGCCAAAGTGTACAGGGTAGGCGACACTCCAGGCAGCAAGAGCTGTGGGGTTGAATTAGCACGTGATCTGGCGTCGCGTTTGCCTGCCGTTCGAGCCAATTCAATTTAACTCTACGCGTTCCGTTTGTTCACCTCATGTTAGTGAAACCCTGTCTTCTCATGTACTTCATGTGCTGTAGCACATTTGAACGATCTTTATGACATCGAAATGTGGAAGGAGTTATTGTTTTATGAGCTCGAGAAGTCATACCTATCTTTTCGCCAAGCATGACTTCTGGTTCCATTCCCACGACTGCCCTCGTGGTGGATTTCATTTGCCTCTTTACACACGATCTGAAGAGAAAGCAAAAAAGGTGGCAAGATGGAGTGCTCAAATATCACACGTTCAACAAGCGTGTCATGGTGTATGATGATCGCAACCACTTTATAGGCGATGCTCATTGGCAAGAAGGTGGGGACCTTGAGCCTGGTGATGAGTTTGAGCTGGATCGAGGTGCTGCTATCGTTCAAGTTTCGGACTGTACTGGACAACGAGAGCAGGATCTGACAGAGTTACTGGACAAGCGCGCAAAGGAAGTTGAGAAGCGGCGGACAAATGCTGGGACGACACGAACACCAGGATCGACTGCAGCAGTAACTCAAACACCAAGAAACGACCAAAATGCCCCCCATTTTCAACTCAGACATCGCCCGCTTAATGATCTTGTTGGAGGAGCTTCAAGAATTGGGAGGGCCGTCATTTCACCCCACTCGCCATTTGAGCAGCGCAGGATGGCCGAGAGCCCAGGTCAGCAGCAAGATTCACCTTCAGAAGACGCGCGGCCGAGCAAAAGGAGGAGGCGAGAGGAGTCGCCTCCGAGAAAGATGGGGCATGCCCGTGCTCTATTTGGAACGACTCTAACTCTCACTCCGTTCTCGTCTTCAATATCGTCAGCTCGAAGTCAACCATTGCACGATAGGGCCGCAGCAAGGCCAAAAGTCGCACCACCTGGCTCACGAGATGGCACATCAAGGCGTGCTGATAGAAGCTCAAAATCACCACCACCTTCTTCTAATCCCGAAGACACGGAGACCAGCGCTCCTCGTCAGGCTGCACCCCGCCGGGTTCTTACACAACGGGCATCGTTGAAGGAGCTGCTGGCAGGCAATGAGCACAATCGGGCCAGCGAACTTCCTCGGACTCGAGAACCTCTGCCGAAGAATCGCACGAAAGCCTCGAAGCCAGTGAAACCTCGACAACCGCCTCCCAAAGATGAGGTTGTTTCACTTCTCACCCAAGAGCCCGTGTCACCAAAACATCGTAGTGATGCAGCCGCGAATAACTCTCCCAACAGCCGAGGACATCAGGAATCCAATGCAGACAGACCATCCAGATCCCGAACATCTGCGCCAAAACTGTCGAAAATAGTTGAATCTGACAAAGGTAATGAAGGATCACCAGCAGCCGACGACGAAGCATTTCTCAATTGGTTGGCGCAAAGTGAGGATTCTCCAGCCGTGGACCAAGCACCAGTGCCACCAGCGGACAACCGCCCACCACGCCCGAAGAAGACAAAGGGTGATCCTGTCCCAGCAATCCAAAGGCCTGCAAAGGAGTCTACCCGGAAGGTCGCCCAAGAACCCATCGTTGTCGATGAAGATGAAGATGAGGATGTGGAGGCACTACCGCATCCAAAGACCTCCCGAATCCGCCCCGAGAGCGCTGTCTCAAAAACGACCAAAAGAAAAGAGACGAGTACAGCGGAACCTCATGGAACGAAGCGAACACTGAGTACCGATAGAGCATCCGCAACAGAAACCGCTACGGACAAACCTCCTCCTGCGAAGGAACCGCGGACAGAGCTCAGGATCAGATCAAGGCAGCGGCGCGGGCTTCTCATGATGGCTCAAAGGAAAGAAGGAGGTCGACCAGGCTCAGCAGGAAGACCAGTCCCCCCCTCATCAGGAGCTGGAAGCGACACACAAAAAACATCGCATACCATCGCCCGCGCTGCCTCGATTTCAGAAGAACCCCAAGCTACTGAGAGAATTACGACAAAGACAACCGCTTCGAAAAAGCGACAAGACTCAGCTGAGCCAAGTGAGCTTCATCACTCCGTGGAGGAGCCTGATGACCAGTCAATCGCGATTCATAACCCGAATACAGAAGAGGCGGCCCGCCACAAGGACTCAGATAATGAATCTGAGGCCCTGAAAGAGCCAGAGGTCGAACTTGTACCGAGTGACGATGCAATTTCAGTCAGTGAGCTTTCTGAAGATAGGAGGTCCCCTCCACCTCGCCGACGGACAAACCCAAGTCGACGCACACGAAACAGGGCGGCCCCAGTCGTGTTCAGCGACAACGAGGGTGAAACCTCAGCATTTGATTCCCCAGCAAGATCTGACGATGAAGAAGAAGGCTTGTCTCTCGCGTCGAAAGCTGGCCGAAAACCTGAGCCTAAGCCCAGTTCCGGCCCACGTATCACCAAGATGTCACGGAAAAGCGTCAAGAGCAGAGAAATTATTGGTTTTGTTATGCCCGATGAAGATTTTTCGATGGATGGTTTCAACGTCGGTCATGCTGAGCTGGCTGAGGTCAAAAAGCCAAGTAACGACTTGAAAGTAGCTGAGAAGCCTCCAGGCAAAGCTCGCGATACACTAGAGGCACCAGCGAACCATAAGTCTGTCAGCGACGGACTTGAAGCGGAACAACTACGAACGAATAAGAAAGAGCCTGAGAAGGAGCAACCTCCAACAAAGGAAAAGATACCCGAACCAACATGGTCTTCAGCGAACACGAAGGAACCAGACACAGTACCGCGCTCCACGAATAGTAGAGCACATGAAGCAGCAGAATCTGTGTTGCAAGAAAAAGAGAGGGAAATCGAAATAGTACGACCCCCGACGAACGCAAAACAACCCCAAATAGGTCAACCAGCAACGAGGATGCAAGAGCAGGAAGCCAGCGCATCCACAACAGGTTCGAGGGGCCCTAAGGTACAAGAATCCTCAGCCAAAGAAAAGGAATCCAAAGAAGTACAGCCTGCGATAAGTGAAAAAGAACTAGAAACAGCACAACCATTGACGAAGGAGAAAAACACTGAAGCAGAAGCCCCCTCAACGAGTGGAAAAAGGCTCGAAGCAGCACAGCCACCAGCCCATGGAAAAGAACAACAAGAAAAGCAACGACCGCGCATTGTGAACCCTGCGACTAGAGGTAGGAAAGCCGCAAGAAAACAAGACGCGGCCGGGTTGCCGCCGCAAACACTGGTTCAATTTGAGCCTGCTACTTCGTCTCGCATTGCTCCGGCGCAGCCACCAAAGAAGATAGCCCCCTTGAACAATGTGCCTCAATCAGAGTTGCCGGTGTTCTGCAGAGCAAATGGTGGTGCTTGGAGCAGACATGCTGAGGATCTACTAGGTATGACGAGGCCTACAAGAAGAATGCCTCGATGTTGATACCGCGGCACCTCATGTTTTGTTTTCTTGTGTCTGCATACAAATTCTTTGTAGGAGAAGTATCTTTCCGAGAACTACGTCGTTTACTGGGGGTTTCTGACTTTGTCTGGCACGTCGTTTCTACCGACACTCCTGCGAATACTTTTGGCATTTCTGTCTTTCAAGCGGACCCCTCCGTCGGTAATCCGGACTGACATTACCTCCGCGTCTGAGCTGTCAACAACCAGCTTTACCCATATTCTGTTGAGCAACAAAGGACGCACTGGATAGGAATTTCCCACGTGAAGGCTTTCATGGCTACCCCTGGCCGTTCCCACCGATGTTCAAGACGATTCGCTAAATCTCACGAAATGAAGGGGTTTGATGATTGAGAGGCTACTGACTAGTCCTAAGCCTGTCGAAGAACAAGGAACCGCTCTGAACGACTCGATTCTCTGGGTCAGTGCTTGCTTTGTTTGAGTAAACAGGGATATTGGTCGGCCACGACTTCACACGACGACTACTTCTGTTGTCTGACCCGATCTGCCCTTGGCCAGCCCATCCCAGTTGCTCGCCAACAGTATGGCCGTGTACAGAAACTCTCGAGCAACAAGAACACTGGATGATACAGCAAGCTCCAAGCCATCTGTCAGATTAGTTCCATTGGAACACCCTTGTGAGCGAATGGGCCTGCAGTGCCTCAGTTGTGCGTACAGAAGCAGAGCGAGCAAGAAAGTCAGAGCAGTGGATCTGCGCAAAGTATCTACGAGTCGCCGATAGAGTCACCTCGGCGCCTTGTTGTTAAGGTTTTGGTGATTTATCAGCATGTTGGGGAAGGGCGTTCGGGAAACGGAATGGGCTACAGGCGTTAAGGTGGCCCTCTGCCGGCGTCTATCATGTTAGATTTCCTATTCGGACGTTTGACGAATACAATCAGAATGAGTCGAAGTTTAGGATGGTGTCTACCCCCGCAGCACCCCTTGTTTTGTTTCTCGGCATGGTTCACGCGGCCAATATTTGGGTTCTGATGTTGTGAACTAAAGGATGGACAAGGTGTGGATCCTGGGAAGTGCTGCGTCTGCTTACTTGATGCCCAGATAACTACGGTCGGGCACAATGTTGCTGGTTCCACTGGAATATATAAGAGGCTACTGGGCCCCGTCTTGTTGTCTCTCATCGACCAACTCACTTGACGTTCAAAACGGAGCCAACAATGCTACCAGGAGTTTTGTTTTGTCAAGACAAGGCTCCGATCTGCCTCGAGGTTTTTACACTTCAAATTTTGACGAGAGTACAAGGTTAGAGTTATCACTCTAAGTTTTGCCTTTGCCTTTTGCCTTTATCTTCTCATAGGAGAATGTCCACGCGGTGTGAGACGAGACAAAGTTACATGGTATGAAGAATGAAGAGTCATAACTGAAGAGTTCTCAATAGTTTACACAATAATGATATGATGATTCGGCGTTTTCCCCAGTTGATCGATGATCCTTGAGACTATTGAAACGAGATATCAACCAACAATGGCTGAGCCATGCTACGGCCTCCGACTTAACCGTAGTGTAACTAACATATGGGGTCGACTCGAGTCGAACGAGTTTCAAATCTGGGGTTGCTGAAGTTGAGTCATCCTCGTATGCGGGCTTGAAAGCATTGACCAACCAGAATGCTTTTCTCTCGCCGAAGTCTTAGCTCTGATGGTGCAGATGGTGGGTCAAGGTAACCAATAGGCATATTTCTTGGGGCGGATCTTACAAAAGTCCAGGAATATGATTGGTGGTTTGGTGTCACTCTGCCTTGTCGCGCTTTACCTTTTCGAGCACGCCGAAAGACTCAATCTCCTCCACTCTGACCTTCCCTTGAAGTGCTGCGCCATGCTTCCGCCCGGGCACCTGCGGCTTCCATCAAACAGACAGTGAAATACTTCGACGACGCCCTCCCCCGTGGCCTCAGGCGTTTCCTCCTTCACTTCCTCTTTCTCGTTACTATCACGACTAATTCGATTATTCGATCAAGAGAATATCTTGTATCGCAATAGTCCTCTACAGTACTGACACTAAACACAACGCAACACACGCTAGACTAACACCGAAACTGGCGACAAGTTTGGTACCTCAAGGCTTTGCCTATCTCTCTATCCCCCTTCAGTTCAATCTGATACGCGTCAACGAAACAAGACTCTACGCATCTCTCTTGGCGCAGTCTTCCTGTTTCTCACTTGCACGCCCCATCTCGAGCGACCTCAAAACACCATAGTCTCTCGTTTGATTCTTTGACAAGTACCCAAACGCTTCACGTGAGAGTAAGCAGGGTCGGAGTAAGCAACTATCCGGACCTGTCACACTTATGCATCGATCGACTAACAGAGTCGTATCTAGCCAACTGACGCGACCTACCAAAGCTCTCCAGGATATTGTATTTGGAGAGTGTACAGCAATTCCAAGCCCCCGTTCCCGTTTTCAAAATTCTGCCTTTTCAAGTAAACCTGAACGGAAATTTCGAGCTTGCAATGGCGTCCAACACCAATACTCTTCCTCAAGGATTCTCGGTTTTCCAGCCTACTCTTGGTGCTCAGCTCCAGTTCTTCCCTGCCATCGGCACCCGTGAGCTCGATGAGATGATCAACGCTTACATGCCTGGACCCGCCTCCAACCAGGAGAAGCGGGCCAGCATCGCTCTCGACTACTTTGAGTATGCTCACCTGACTGGGCAGACTTTCAAGTTCTACCCTATCTATTCCGCTGCCGACTCTCCTGCTACTGCCAGCCCTCTTCAGGACTCTGGTTATGGATCTTCTTTCAACACCAGCCCCGCTACCTCTAACTGGGATTGGAGCAATGTGAACACTTCAAGCTCTTCTCGCCGCTCATCTCCCAAGTCGACCTCCAGCCCCCAGGCCACCGATTTCTCGAACCTCCCTGGCATGAAGATCATGACCAAGGATGGACGTGATGTGACCAACTCTGCTTCCCGAGGATCCAAGACAAAGGAGCAGCGAGATCACGCTCATCTCATGCGAATCATCAAGGCTTGCGACAGCTGCAAGAAGAAGAAGATTCGCTGCGATCCTAGCCACAAGAAGCGTGGTGTTTCCAGCACAGCGGCTCAGCCTGCTAAGGTGACTAAGAAGACGAAGACAGTGGCTCCAGAACCCAAGGCCACTCCTGTTGTTGTTCAGGATGCCTTTACGCAATTGACATTCCCCCAGCAAGACTTCTCAGCCGACCTCGACAGCTTGGCTGCTCCTACAGAACAGGGAGTTGAGCCATGGGAGCAATTCGTCCAGTTCCCTGCTGAGGATGACAACTATGACTTCTTCAATGACCCCGAGGGCTACTTCTCTCCTGGATCCTCCTCCTTCCTCTCTGAGGACTCTACGAAGCCCGTTACTCCCACGACAGAACAAGACTTACTCCGTCGTCCACGCGATGAGGACCTAGCAGGACTTACCGATCTTGCGGCGTATATGCCATTCAACCAGACCGAAGCCAATCACGACTATGTGGACTTCAACCTGTACTCTCCTGCATCAATCTTCTCTGAAGATGAGCGTATGGTCCCGATTGAAGTTTCCAAGCAGTCTATTAGTCAGCCTAGGTCACCAGCACCGAACCCACTACCGCCAAACGAGTCCTCGAGTGGCTTCTATAGTAGTGGCGGTGAACTTGGCGGCGGCGACCTAAATGGCGATCTGTTTGGATCGCTTTCTGTGGGCTCGTCATCCGCACCTCAACAACCCTCTACCCATGGCCAGCTCGGCCGCGAAGACGTCTATCGCGACCCTGGAGCTGGCCTGGAGTATTACTCCGGTACCCCAGAGTCTAGTCTCGGCTCGCAACTTCTGAGCTCGAGGGCGAACTCATGGTCAGACCGCGACGCGCAAAGCTCTGTGTCTGAACCGCTGTCCTCTGTGGACTCTCAGCTATCCACGAATAGTAACGTACGTGTCTCACTGATTATCCCGCTTCTGATGGAGTGGCAACTAACTTCGGAGAAGGTGACAATTAGTCGCGATATTATCGAGGCCCGCGGAGTAACAACAGCACAATTAGAGTCTCGACCACTCGAGACAACCGCCACCACTACAACCGCCACTACTACCACGACTCTGGGCACGCAGTCCACGGAGACGATAGCACAATCAAGCTATCAACCGATCGTGACGGAAGGCACAGAAGATTCATCGGGTTGTCGAGCATCCGAGAATCACACTGTGACCGCCCAAGCGGTTCTCCAACGTGTCGATGCACAAGGCGACCTACATCAACCAGCTTCTCCAGATGCAGAGATTCACAATGTGGCGGAAGATATATCCCAACCTTCTCCCGCGCCCGTTGTGCCAGCTCACCAGACGATTGGCCTGGAAACTCAATCTGACCAGCCAAACATGGAAGCACTCGCATCCATTGCTGCGATGTTAATCGCCTCGACCGTTTGGTCTTATGTCTCTCAACAGTTTGTCCTGCAGGACAAATATCGGGAGCAGCAGACACAACCCGCTGCACTCAGTCAGCGAAAGGTCAATGGTATCATGCCCAGCATTCGAGAGAAGGTCTGCAGATTGCAGAACACGACACGAAGCGGCAAGACGTCAGTCGGTCGAATGGTCTCGATGAACAGAAGTCTCATCGCTGTGTAGCGATGAATCCTTGTTGCGCACCAGGTGGAATGAATGGAGTTGGTATACAGGCTTTCGGCTAGAGCCATGATAGAGCTTGCACCCTTTTTTATTTGTTTTATTTATTGCATTTAGCATTGGGAGTGAATGGCCGCGCAGTTGCGCTGGTCTTGACAGGGAATGGCAGTTGCTATAGAGCGAGCATCGAGCCCAAAACCAATTGAACTGGCCTCCAAGGCCGTATAATATTTAAATCCTGTCCCTTTGCGATGTGATCTATGTTGCGTGCCTGGTGGTGTGAGTATCACCAACAGTAAAGTTTGTCCTACTTGTCTGTGAATGAGACGGCCTCACCGTATTCTGAATATGTGTTCCGTAAACTCTGGGGGACTGTAATTCGATGAGCGGCTATGAAAGCGGGTCACCTGTATTAGACGGTGGATCAAACAGGGATTAGCGCAACAACGCGAGTATGAAATCTTCTCTCAAATTGATGTAGGACATCAGTATCTCGAACCCTTTCTCTTACTTTTTAAGGCTGGGGGGAAACTTTGATAAGCCATTCCAGGCCAAAAGAAAATTCACTCCTTTTGTCTTTCATTAATTTATTTCTGGGGCCATAGGACGACGCAGCACGACAATACCTTGCTCTTTTCCTTGTTCGGCGGCATCTGTACTGTACGATCGATTGCTTGTAATCTAGTGATTGCATGTGGCGATGAGCTTAGAGTAACAGCCAATTTCTGGTCTACTATTTGAGCTTTCTTGTTAAGTCTTGCGTGAGCTCTGATTAAGCTTACCGGATTATTGTTCTCCATTGTCCGAATTGTAAATACACAAAGGCCTGTGTTACTTGGTTTTGAGACGACATTTGCTGTCAGCCTATTGTTCTAGAAGGAGGAACAAAGGACCAGGGTTGAGGAAGAAAAAAGTAAACATCGGAAAGAGAAGGAAACTTTTGGATACGAGTGAAGGGATTATCGATAACGAGGGTACGAAGGTGAAGGGACTTGTCACTGAGAAGTAAGGAGGAGGATTGAAGCCTGGGGGATAGTGAGTGAGTGAGGGAGTGAAGGTATTCAGAGGCTCGAAGAAGGAGACAAAGACAAACATGGGAGTTTTCAAGTCACTTGGTCTTTCGCCGGCCAAAGCGGCAGGTGCAAAGGCCTTGCGTCGTCTTTTTGGGCGGGTGCTTCCAGGCGAGACTGACAGTGCCAGTGACACTGATCAAACGGGCAGGGGCAACTCCAGTAACGACAACAATACTCAAAGGGAGAAAAACAACAAAGTCAACGCAGATTCTTCATCTACAAAACATCAGGATACATCTGCCCCGACCGATAATCGCCTACAACAAGACGCTCTCACCAATACTGAAACATCTGCAACTACCTCCGATATGGTGTCGCCTCAGAAGCACGTCCCCCAGGGGATCGTGGACAAGGAGAACCAACCGCCAAACACGGCTCAGCTGTCAGAATCGCTCTCTCGTCTGAAAATTGGAGAGGAGAAGGCTGTCGCAACATCCCCCAAGCCCGTCGTTTCCACTGCCCCTGCTGCTGCTGCCGAGGATGCAGCTCCCGCCGTTCAAGGTGTACCTGCTGCCCCCATCTACACAGACCCTGCTGTCATAGCGGAGCGAGCGATGCACATGAAGTTCACTGAAGAAGCTCTTGACATGGTAAGTCAACCAACACACTTGGAAATGGCAAACCCTCCCCCGCCCTCTACTAAGACTGTATATTCCCTACGACATTTAACTTTTGGCTAACTCTCAACCCAGGCGCGACTTGCTCTCAGAACCAACGAAACACCCGTGGGATGTGTTCTTGTTCACGATGGAAAGGTCATTGCTCGAGGCATGAATGCAACCAACGTCACTCGAAATGGTACTCGCCATGCTGAGTTCATGGCCCTCGGCGCTTTACTCTCTTACCCTCCCAAGAATGGACCAAGGACAACCTACCTGAAGCCCAAGCCCGAGAATCAGTCAGCCGAAGCTTCTGATACATCTTCTGTCGAATCAGGACCCGTCGATGAGGGTAATGAGGATGGATCCAAGGGCCACCTCTACCCTTATGGCCAGAAGTGCCACCCTGATGCGCGAGTTGATAGATCTATCATTCGAGAGAGCATTTTGTACGTCACTGTAGAGCCGTGTGTCATGTGTGCTTCTCTCTTGCGACAACTCGGTATCAAGAAGGTCTATTTTGGCGCAGTCAACGACAAGTTTGGCGGAACAGGCGGTGTCTTCAGCATTCATGCCAACTCACTTCCTGTCAGTGCTGATGGCCAGACTGCCAGCGCACATCCAACACCAAAGCCTGCGCAGCTTCCAGACGGAAGTGGCACACTGGGCGTCTCGTATCCTCCAGGTGGAGGAGACGGTGGAAACCTGGAATCTGGTTACGAAATTGAGGGTGGATGGGGTCGTGATGAGGCTGTCGCACTTCTGAGACGATTTTATGTCCAGGAGAATGGACGAGGTAAGTGACACATATTACTCGACTATTTTGACTGATATGCTGACTCTATAGCTCCGGTGCCTCGCAAGAAGGAAGGCCGTGCAGCTCGATTGGCTGCCATGATGGAGGGCGAGGGCACCGGTGAAGGCACTGGCGAGAGCAACGGTGAAAGCAACGGGGAGGATAATGGCGAAGGCAACGACGACGAAAACAGCGAAGAAACGCCAACTCCGGATCTTGCTGCCACTGAACCCGAGCCCCAAGTTCTTGACCTGCCCACTTCAACTCAAACTCTGAAGGAAACGCCCGCGCCGCTAGGTGATCGTACCAACGTCTAGAACAGCGTTGTCGCGATGCCGCTGCCGCATCTGCGCCGTAAGAGTAACACAGAAAATGGTGGAGCCACGGAATAGGTGGACACATCCCATGGAACCTAGCTGATGGAACTGTATCCATCAGCCCTCCGAGACACCTGTGCCAAAGTATTGAAAGCACAATTGGAGAGGATAAACTCATTTTAGACGTTTGGAGGGTCGAGTTGCAGTTTCGGTGGAACTTTGAACAGAATTGCTGTGGGAGGATGGCCTTTGACTTTTGATGCATTTTGGGCGAGCATGACGCTCAAGCGGAGGACATGGCGTGCGGGCTGCTGAGTTCCAGTCGATTGGGGGCAAGGAAGAGTGCTGTCACTGGATGGTGTTGTGGTTTGTGATAGCATAATACACTTATGAATAAGGCTGATGGGTGGTCACGGAGTGCTGGGTAAATTACCATGCGTGGCAGTCTCTACCATGGAGAGTGTAGATCATAGCAAGACCAGCAATTTTGGGCATGGAGGCCGAAGCTAGACTCAGTGACTCCTTGAGTTTGGCGGGAGCAAGTGACTGATTCACTGACTAGACCCCATATCCCATTCCAAATCTCAATTTAATGGACAGAGAGGCCAAGACTATTTACTTGCTTCAGCGTAGACATGAGCAACGATAACGACCCTGTTTCTACTTATACTGCCACTGGAATCCAATCTAATGACCTAACCATAATTAACAAATGACTGATGCTTGATCAGGTCGCTGTGCAGAGTTCCAACTAGGCCACTGGGCCCAACCATACTCAATAAACCCTTGAAATTCCTCTCCTGCTCCCGAAACAAATTGACCATCTCCATCCTTTCCTTGGACACCCATTTTCTAGCTCTCTGAGGCAGGTCTTCACTCTTGGCAACAGCGAAGCCCGCACGTACTCCTATTAGTAATCCACCTGTTAATCCCTTCTTCAACCTTTGAGCCGAAGTCTGTGCCACGGCCGATACTCCTCCTTTGACCAAATGCGAGCCGGCCGAGACAAGACCTCCGAGAGCGCCCATCGCGGCGCCAGAGCCAAATGCCGTGCCTGCTCCTTCAAACAGACCGTAGTAGGTGCCATAGAACTTGTTCTCAATCGCATTATGTGCCACGGTTGTCAACAACGACGATGTCGCGCTGATCAAGGCCTTGCTGCCGACGGTTGCAGCAGCACCAATGAGATTCTCTGTTGCAGTGCCCATTGCCAAACCAACTGCCTGTCCAAGGCATTCAGTTGCGCTCACCATGTTGGCTGGTGTAGCCACTGCTCCCAAAGCACCGGTGGCTCCTCCGATGGCCGCGTTGACGAGCACCGTGGCTGCGTAGCCGCCCCAGAACTTTCCACCTCGTTCATTGCGATGATCAAAAGACTACGTTGTACCAGTGATACCTCCACTGGCCAGAGCTCCAGCAGCAGCAGCAGCAGCAAGTGGCGCCGCGGCTCTTCCTGTGGCAATTGTGAGGGCAATGGCGCCAACGACGAGGGCAGCTCCGAGGACAGCGCCCAGTACAGCTGATAACGACCAATGCCCAGAAGGATCAGCGTGATTTATAGGGTCGTTGTTCTCAAATGCCAGTCGGTTGAGTCCGTCAGTCCTGGCGAGGTCCTTGACTGCCAGAATGTCATCAGGCGTGGTAAAGCGGCCAGTAATGGGGTCGTACCACCTGGATCCAAAGTTATAAAGCTCTGCGCCTTCATCGAGACTTTTGCTTTCGTATGTTGAAGTCTTGTCGAAGCTCGTATCGCTTGGCTGCACTCTCTTGATCTTGGGTGTTCCGAAGTCGTCATAAGTGATGGTGTCGAGCAGACTTCCATCAGTGCTCTTGAGCCTGTGTGTCACGTTTCCTTTGACGTCGGTGAATAAAGCGGCAGAGGATGGAGAATCTCCAGAGGCATGTGTACTGGACTTGCTCGGGACTGTCTTGCTACAGTTTCCGATCAAGATGCCAGCACCAAACAGTTTAATCGTGATGATCTCGGAGCCGTCCTTCTTGATCTGAATATTATAGTCGTCGCTGATTGTCAAGAGAGACCCTACGTTTTCGGGCTCCTCTCGCTTCACAGTCTTGCCATCTGGAGCGCATGCCATGTTTGTTGTTTTCCCAACGTTGTCCTTGTAAGATGCAAGCAGTCCGAATGAGTCGTAGCTGAGTTGCAAACTCGAAGCCTCAGTATCTCTGCGGGTTGTCATCCCAGCTCTATCATATAAGATATTGAAAGCTGTCGCGGCGCCTCGCTTTCCAGTCGCCGGGTTACTTCCTTATGAAATGGTCGTGTCCGCCTTGGTGAGGATGTTGCCTGACGAATCATATACATAGTTCTTCATATTTGCGTCTCCAATCTGTGAGTTCTTGAGACGCTTACCTTCATAGTTGTACTTCTTGGCCACGTTGGACATGCCGTCAAGATTCTGGGCAAGTTGGTCTGCTCCATTGTAGATATACGTCTTCTGAACCAAGGGCTTTGTGTCTGAGGGAGACTGCCCTAGTTGGTCAAGGTTGTGACTGAGGGTGTACGACTGGAGATCGTACTCGAAAGTGTGCTGAAAATCGGTCTGTCCGTCGGCCTTGCCAAATGTGATTTTGTTGGGCTTTTCCGTTGCATTGTTACACTCAAAGGTGCCGTCGAGCCATGTCTCTCGCTGACCTCCTGGTCCCTCAGCGTAGACCTCGCTGTATGAAAGCAGAGATCCGATGTACTTGTTCAGTTTGGTAGCACCGTTGGGATAAGACTTGGTCATTACCTGTCCCTGCCAATCGTACTCGAAGACTATTTCGTACTCAACCCCATCGGCGAAAGTCAAAGCCCGAGAGCTCAGTCGGGCCCGTTCGTCGTACTCAAAGCTAAGCTTTGTCTCCAGTTGCTTTGCTTCACCTGAAGGATAAACCGTCATCGAGGAAAGTCTCTCCTTGCCAGCATCATCGTACTGATACCTGAGCACTCTGCCATCAAAACCAGTCTCACTAATAGGACGACCTTTGCTGTCCCCGTTGAACATAATCGCCCCTTCGTTGGCGTTGATGGTTTTCTCTAACTGTCCCGTACCATTATAGATATAAGTCATCGATAGCTGCTCCGATGGCTTAGCTGGGTCTTGCATTCTCTGATAAACGTTGTCAAGGATCCGAAGCTGGCCAAGCGAGTTGTATTTCCTCGTTTCCCTCTTTGCTTGAGGATCGGAAGCAGACAACAGATTGCCGGCAACATCGCACGTGAACTCTGAAGTCAAGGCTCCCTGATTCGTAGCTGAGATAATATGCTCCTTTCCGTTGATGGAAATATATGTACGAGGCGCAGACCAAAGCACGACATTAGTGGCGCTCGCGTTTGAATCTGGTCCGGTAACAGTCTCCAAGACTGTTCCGCCATCAATAGAATATTGCAGGCTTGAGACGACGTTAATGGCCGAGTCGTTGTGGCTTGGGCGAGTCTGGTTGAGGACCCGACCGAGCTTGTCGAATACCGAAGTTGTGCCTTCTGACGGCCCGGGCTGATACTCGAAGTTGTCCCATGGAGCTGACTGGAGGTTGAAGCTTTAGAAAAGGGGATTGCCGCGTGTATCATATGTACAACACTTCCAAGTGACATGCTTGTCTGTTGAACTGCTGGCAGGGTCAACTCCTTGTCTAGATCGTTGCATCTTCTTCTGTCCAACACAGTCAACAACGTCGAGTACTTGAAGTTGCCCAATGTCTGTGTCATTGAAGTACGACAAGGTCGATGAGGTCAAATACGAGTTCCCTGCCGAGCTCTTGAAGAGGTCGTAGCTGTACTGCTGAACCGGATCCAGGATACATTTGTCAGACAAGAGCTTCATAAAATCGCTTGATGCCGCATACACCTTGGGCAGGAATTCCTTGGCTGTAGTTGAGAGAGTCCCTGTGACCTTGCTTTGCATGCGTGCCTCGATGTTTCTGCCGAAGCCATCGACGCGAGTACACGTGAGTCGTCCACTCGTCTCACGTTTGGCCAGCAGCTCGCCACTTGCCATATCATACGCAAGAAGTTGGATGGAATTGACGCCACGACCTTTTTCTACCTGTTGAATTGGGAGACTGCTAAAGTAGGAATCATAGGTCGTCGTGGTCGCGAGGCCGGCAGGGTCCATGGTTGATATCTCATTGCCGTAATCATCGAACCCATGTGTCGTGGTTAAAAAGTCTCCAGTATCATCCGACCACCTCTTGACGGTTTCAAGAAGGGCAGTATTGCTGTTGTATGTGTACCGAGTAAAGTCCACGTCTCATTGTTGAAACGCAGTCAAGTCCCGATTGGTTTCAACCGAAGAGAGCTTCATAGCCGTCATGAGACTCGTGATACCTCGGATAGATGTGTCAGAACAGTTCTGCCAAGACTGGAAGATAATCTGGCCTTGCTGATGTTCTGAAACATATTTGGTGATGACGTTTCCATTGTCGTCGTAGGTGAATTGGGTCATCTGCACCCGGCACTGTTCCCCCTCTGTCTCGAGCTTGTCGAATAGCTTGTCGACATGATAGATGTCACATCCATTCTGCTGAGACAAGGGAGTATCGTAGTCTGTCTTTTGGGATGACAACGGGGACTGTTGAGGATCTACTTTAGGGTCTGAATTCAGCGTGTCAATTTTAGACTTGAGCCCGATCTTTGGGAAAGTCTGGAAGTAGTGCTCGGTTGTCCAAATGTCATCAACGATGTTGTGAGTCGTGATGGACTCAAAGCCCAACCAGCCTCTTCCTTGACTGTTTACAAGAACTTGACGATACGTCTTTGCCATATTGACCTCGAAGGCCAACGAGTTTGTGGCTGAGTCGTTGGTGTGTTCGAGGGACGTGACAACATAATTGGGAGCGCCCTTGACAACATAGTTTCCAGGATCGGTAGGTGGATAGTTTCTCCAGTCAACGCCAGAATCATAAACGTCCGGGTCTGTGAGACAACCGTACGAAAAGGCAGTGACAAGGCCCATTGAGTCGTTGGACGATGACAGAAGATCTGTCGGCTGGCCTGTGTTGTAGACAGGGACAATACTGAGCTTGCCTTCGGCAGTGAGGCTGTAGAAGAGTCATCCTCCCATTCCAATGCCACTCAGATCCTCGGGAATCACTTGAGTATTCTCCATCTTGGGATCTGGCGTCACTGGGTATGGGACAATGGGACTAACCGCGGCGCCGCAGCGTCCATCAACCGACATGCATACAAAGCTGATGTCGTTACCCTGTTGGTAGACATAAACCAGGGATGGGTAGAGTCCGCCATTGAGATTTGTAACGGAGAACCTGCCATCTCCCTTCGGTTCCATGGCGTTTTCAACTGTTTGCGTCAGCTCGTCACCACACTTGGCGAAACTGCCCATGCCGTCACCAAGCGAGACCAGATATCTGAAGACCATGTTTGGTGCCTGGAACTCGGCCTTTCCAAGGACAATATCCTGAGTACCATCTCCATTTATGTCGCAGGACAGGATGCTCAAAACAGGCGCGTTGGCATCTCTCTTGGGAAAGGGACCTCCGAGTATGGAATTGATCCCAGTAGCTTTGAAGCCTTTGGACGAATCGCCTGTTACGAGGCAACGGAAAGACGTGGCCTTGATGTTGTACAGATCATTGGGCAGTATCTCTTGCCACACACGTACAAGACTGACAGCTCCAGTTCCCGAGTGTTTCAGGAGAAACCAATCGTGTTATCGAAGCCGTAGGTGGTATCTGTCTGGATGCCATCTGCCAGTCCGATGCTTCCAGAATTACTCTCATTGGTAACTCCTGGAAAGTTGCGAAAGGACAGATTCTGGCCATTGGGGAAGATTTGGACAACGTCAGCGACGCCAGTTCCAGTTATGTCCATGGCCATGAACTTGGACTTTACTACCCAGGGAAAGTTGGTCTGCTTGACTTCTTGAACCGCAGCCAGCCTAGCACCATTTGTCTGTGAGAGGAAAAGCTCGAGCATTCCCCTGGCGTTCTGATACGGTATGATCAAGTCTGAGAGGCCGTCGCCGTGAAGATCAGGCGTCAAGAAATCAGGCATCTCCGCATCTGGGCTCGTTGGATCCCACATAGGCATCGGTACCTGGACATTTTCCTCCGATGGAGTCCAATCAGCAATGGCATCAGGCTTCCCGTCGGAGTTAGGCTTTCTCTCTGCTGTGTAGGTCTTGACCGCCATTACTTTGTTGGCAATGTCCCATACCACACAAGCAACATCAGTGAGCGCCTTGCCAGTCATATTCAGGGGAAGCAGGTAACGACATTGGACTCGGCTTGGAAGGGGTCCGCTGGCACCGTCTTGAAGAGATCTCCCGGTGCAGTATCCTGCGCTGTGTATGAAAACGAGGTAGGGAGAAGATTAACGGCCTGGCCGTCTTTTTCTGAGCTCTCCGCTACCTGCGAGAGGTACGAATCGTTAGTCGTTGCCGACTGACCGTAGGTGAGGGAGTAGGTCCTGTTGACCGTAATCTCTCCGCCGATATTGATGCCGATGGAGATAGAGCTGAGGAGGTTTGCCCGGGTGATGATAGCTCCTGCAATGGAATGCGTGACCAAGTCCTTGCGGTCAGCGTAGTGAAACTGGACAAAACGCGTCGCAGGAGAGTCAGTGACATCGTTGGAACAGTACTTGATCGAATCAAGATACGATGTGTTGACATCTCTGGTGTTCTCGGTCTGTGGAGAAGGGATGTAGTTGTATTGGATCGTGTTGCCGTGACAATCCGTCTGCTTCTTGATACGCCATTCTCGTGCCTTGCCTTCAGGCTGAGTCACGATGCGGCTATCAAGAGTTGTTCCATACTCAATCTGCCGTCCCATGTTGTCGGTGACCAAAAAGCCACCATCTTCACCCAATCACTTGACTTGAAGACTAGTGTTGTTTATCTCAGTGGTATACACAGTTTGAGGTCCATTGTATTCCCCGTCTATGTTCAACAACTCTAGGCCATCCATTATGAGCTTAGGTTTGGAAGTATCATAGTCCGGAGGAGGCGGGTTGACTTTGCCATAGACGACTTTTGGGGCTCCAAGGTAAATGCTGGATACACCACCAAGCACCCAGCTAAGCCCAAGGATACCGTTCGGAGTACCTTGGGAATACTGGAGTGACAGATCAGGCTCATTGCCGGACTTGATGCCCGCAGGAGTCTCAATCCCGAGCATGTAGCGAGCAACGCCATTATTGTCAGTATCAGCTTTGCCCTGTTGACGGTCAATAGCTGAGCTATAGGAACTCATGATGTTCTTTGTACAATGAGTCGATAGTTGAAAAGATATAATATTGAGAACAGGGTGGAGATAATAAGTCTGCCAGAAGTAGGCCGCAAGCTGAAGATTACACTTACAACGTCGAGATAGTAGATAGATATATGAGGATCGCGTTTGTGATACTCAAGTAAGTCAACGTCACGTCTTGGAAAGAGTTCAAACGCGATGTCATTGATTCTGGACCATATCGTAATTTCATTTCAAGACCAGTCTGATCTGCTCAACCAACATTGCCCACAGTCCCCAACTCGTACTACAACTCTATGGTTGAAGCAATCAAGACAACCGCAAAGAAGGAGACCACAGAACAGAATGGTTTTTAAACTTTAGGTCCTTAAATTTTAGCAAGATAGTGAGACAGTCTGGTCCTTAACTACACCTATTTGTTGTCTTGTCTCTGTAGACTTGTGGTTCAATTTGAAAGTGAGGGAGGAATCAGGAGCTCGCTTAACTAAATTTCCATTAGAGATTATACTTAGCAATAGTATAGTAACAAGCAAGCATGATAACTCACTGACATCAGATACATTGCCTCACCAGATAAAACAAAAATGTTTTGCACTTCCGAGCACTGCAACGTGAAGCACACAACTCAAAGTCCCTGTCACATTGACGCGTTGCATCACAGATCAGCGAACCTTGCAACTCCACCGTAGTATGGCCGAGCTCTGCTATGTTTTGACTTCGTTGGATCTCAGCGCTTCAATCGATACCTCCGAACCTTCTCGTCTCTATCTTATTACTATGGTCGCATTCTCTGTCCTGCGGCCGACGATGCTGGCGCTTGGTCTGACCCTGGGCCTACCCGCCATTCTCTATTTCAGTATTTTGGGAGCGTTGGTTGTCGCACCCTCACTACAAGCTCACGCAATCTATCTTCACAAAGTCGCTTTGACGTGGTTCAAGGATCTCAACACACCGGAGCAATTTGGATTCGCTCATCATCAAGTTACACCCTTCTACATCTCAACACCAGATGGAGTCAAGCTGCACACATGGCATGTACTCCCTTTAGCGGCATATGAGTCACACCAGGAAGAGTTGTTGGCTCAAGGGCCAGACGGTGGATTGGTAGACAAGTTTGAAGAAACTTTGAACTTCCGTCTACTAAAAGAGAACCCAAATGCTCGCCTGGTACTTTACTTCCATGGCACCAGTGGAACTATGGCCAGTGGTTGGCGCCCTGATAGCTACCGCTCCCTCTACTCAGCTGACCCAGTCAACACCCACGTTCTGACATTTGATTATCGCGGGTATGGAGAGTCCACCGGCTCACCAAGCGAAGATGGTATCATCACGGATGCTGTCACTATTGCCAATTGGGCTATTCATACTGCGGGCATCCCCCCCGAGCGAATCGTGATCTTTGGACAAAGTCTGGGCTCAGCTGTGGCCATTGCCCTGGTCAGCGAGCTCGCCCAGAAGACACCCTCCGTTCATTTCGCTGGATTGGTTGTTACAGCGACGTTCGCAGATATCCCCCAATTGACTGCTACGTATCGCATTGGCGGCTTCATCCCTGTGCTTTCACCAGTAGCCAAGGTGAAGCCGCTATTCGCGTTCTTTGCGCGGCAGCTTTCCAGTACTTGGGACAACATGTACAGGCTCGGCGAGTTTGTCAAGGCTGCTGAAAGGTACGATATCACTCTCCTGCATGCCGAAGATGACACAGATATTCCCATGGAGCATTCCATCAAGCTTTATAGGGAAGCCGTCCGTGCTGCAGAGGGTGTCAAGGGCTTGACCGAGAATGAGGGCGCACTCCTCAGCAGGATAAGCAGCCTCGAGAAAGGTCGCGGAGAAGGAGGCTCAATTACCGTCTGGCCTACCAGCAAGGGCAACATTAGACTCGAGATTTTGAAGTATGGAGTTCATGACAAGATCATGGCGTATCCTGCGACTGGGCTTGCGATCAGCCGGGCGTTCGCTTCGGTTCAGAAATAGAAGGGCATAGAATATACAGAATATACACACGGTTTCTCTCCCCCATTCAACTCCATGCCACTCTGGCATGGGAAGATGACTCTGCCCACCCTGCGTATCAGCTCTAAAGCTAGCACAATCATGCTTATATACCAGATTGGTCAAGCAATAGGTACATACGACCAAAGGTAGTGGAAAATACGGGATCCCGTCAAGTTCTTTCATTCTGTAGAAGGGTCTTATCTTTCTGTAGTTGAAGCCTCTGTTTTTAGTAACCTCTGTCCTCAGTTTTCGGAGGCCTTGAGCTTTAGTACTACCGGATCGGTGATTGGTCAATTAAAGTTTGTGATCCAAGGTTCACACTGGTTACAGAAAATTGGATACAGGCAGTTACCTCTATACAGTAAATGTTGGGTTGGATGTGAGAGAAAGTTTTAAGAGCTAACGGCTATGCATGTATCAATATGCTTGATAATATAAGAATACCTGGATCTTAATGGAGTCAAATACCGTTAAACCAGCCAGAGCTTTGTTTCATCTGCTGACTTTACCTGATCTACTGCCTCTGACCCAAAAATCCTCCCAACCCCAATTCTTTCAAAGGCAGATGAACTCTCAGCTATCCGTCGGAGCAGGAGTATACTATAAGCCTGGTGAAAAGACCAGAAATAGCCAAGACCGAACCCTGGGACATCCACAGTTGTTTCCGTAAGTGGCAAAGCTAGGACATCTAGCAATACAGGTTCCGAGCTCGCAACCAGATCGTCGATTGATACCCATCCACAAAGAACTTCAGGAAACTGAGAAAGGGCTATTTTTCTCCAGTATTCTCGTGTTCTTGTGCCAGGAACCGTGATGGACCCTGTTTGTAAATTCTGTTCAGAATCAATTTCATACCCTGATAAACTGGCTGCAATGTCCAAGTCTGAGTCTGAGTCGAATAAGCCATCTATCCTGACACTCAGTAGCTTTCCTTGCATGACGAGAGTATTGTACTGTGGTGTAACAAACCGGTCAGCTGGAAGGATCCGGCCTCTGAAGTATGCGTCTATTGTGAGGTCGCTTTCAGATGCTGACAATTGTTCATCAACTGAGGTTTTCTTGGCCCCGAGAAATTCGCTAAGCGTTTTGGTGGTTCGACGACTTTTCGGCATTCGACGATGGTCTTGCTGCCATACGACAGGATGTATAACTGATGCCCAAGACCATGTAGGAATACCACTTAGCCTTTGGCCTGGGCAACCACTATCTGTCTCCCATAGTAGGCCTACTATAATGTCCCCAGCCCACATTCCTGATAGGTAAATGGTATACCAATCTTGCTCAGCATCTATTGAGCAATTGATAGCAAGAGCAAACTCCTCGGAGATACCGGCAAGTGCTGTCAATCTGTCCTCACTAATCTTTGTAAGCCGTAGAGAAGAATAAGTATGAACAGCAAATCTCCACTTGTCAAAGATGCTCCTGCACGATAATTCTAGGAAATTCTGGCTAAAGAAGTCATTAAGAGAGATACTAGCATCTCTGGTATCCAGATTAGTCAGGTTGAAGTCGTTAGACGCTGTCGTGCGCGGGTTGAACCTTTGGCACTGAAAGAAACAGGCCGTTCTGGTGAAGCAGATCATCCGTCTGCTCAATATCCACTCTTGGAAAATCCATCCCCGACGCAGTAACTCGGATTGTGCAATTTCCTGGTCGTACTGCTCCCTGATATCTGAATGATTGACCTGACGTACGTAAAAGTAGCCTTTGTGAATGCCTTCCCGGTCTCTATATGGCAGTCGGACAAGATTGGGAAGAGACTCCTGGTCACAAGCTGTGAAAAGTCCTGTCTCTCGGGTAACGCCAAAACCAGCGACAGTAAAGAAAGAATTTTGGTAGTACGTTGCCATCCTTGCGGCTTCTACTATCCAATCCTGTTCACTGTCTTGGATAATACAAAGCGAGTCAATCCATACAAATGGGATGCCCATCTTTAACGCAAGATAAAAAGCATCCTCAAAGTGACTTGGAAGATACTCTAGCCCTTCTCCACGAAGCCTTTCAGAATAGTTGCTTTGTAAAGTTGAGGCATTGGCGGTATCTGGTTGAATCCAGCGATGGGTGAGCGTAATGTACTTTCCTCGGCAACCCCCAGTTTCTTTGAGTGTGAGTGCCCTTGCCCCATCACTGTCGAGGCTAACTTCGATACATCGATTTGGTAGATCAGTCGCTTCTGGATTCAAAAGACGGGAGCCTGAGAATGATGTGCGACATTCCTCATGGTTCTCTTGACACTGTTGTAGCCAAGATGACAGCATCTGTATATGGCCATCAGATCCTGTTTCTGTGTCCAGTAGTCGTCCCGCTACATCACCATTGATGGCTGCAGGTGAATCTAGTTCATAGTTAGCCACCTGTCAAGTCGGCTACGGAACGGAGTATACGTAGTTGGCTCACCTTCATCCGCGAGAATTTGGAACTGACACAAAGCAAGGTCGTTCCTTCGAAACGTGGTGCTGCCGATAGCCCACAATCTAAGCAGCCCCAATGGATCTTCGAGACTGGAGGTGTTGTTGTTGTCTTTTCGGTTGTATTGACTTTCCAGCCAAGACTCCCACTGCTCAGAACCTTGCAAGTAGATCCATTCTGGCCAATTTTGCAAAACTGCGATCACACCCTGCTTCCGACCCTGAGGGAAGCGCGCTTTGATTAGTAGTGAGCAAAAAGGACAGCCAGACTCGGCAGCACTAATAGCTGATAGCAGCTTGTATCCCCTTACTGGAAACTTTACGGGGTCAAAAGCCTGGATGTCGAATGCCTGGCATGTATCGCAGAGCTCCATGATCTTACTGAGAGTATTCAAATTTTGTGAGGAGGATAAAATAGAGAAACAGGGATTGTCGACGCGTAGAACTTATACCGCAGCCAACAACCAACAGCCAACAACCACCAACCACCAACCAAACAACCAAACAACCAAACAACAGGGATCTGTAACTAGTCCACGTGACACTGACTATGAGCTGATCCAGCACGTCAATTCCCCTCTTCCTCTCTCCATACGCGCGTTGGTCAACAATAACACCACCAGTAACAACTTTGCTTCGAGAGACTCATGCACGAATACAATGCCTCGCCTTCGGGACATGACAGCATACAGACTACCACTTGTCCTGTTCTTGCCGGCTCCTCTTATATGTTGTATGATAGCACTGCAAGGCCTTTCAAACAGAATTCATCTCGACACAATTCACGTTTTATCCCAGTCTGATCTCCGTTTCTACGAACTCACCTGTTGGAGCCCACACGAGGATCATGCATCAGGGGTTATCTCACAAATGGCTGACGCCCTTCTGATACTCCTAACTGTCCAGTTGGTTCCCCAGGCCATTTTAATTGCGCAAAGACGCTGGGCCAGAACTGCAAAGGCACTTTCACTTGCTTTGACAAGTGCGACCTTGGCTTTTTTGCTGGCAATCTTGGTCAAAACCAGTCTTTTGGTGAAAGACCTTGAAGCTACAGGCCCGTTTCCCCAATTGGAACAGTACTGCTCAACTCCGCGCGCTAACTCTCGTGCTCGTTTTGAATTCCGGAATGACACGGATGAATCTGAAGTCCGAGGGGTCGTCATCCTTTGCGCCTTTGATTGCGCTTACAAAATCGTCATCGTTATGTTTCTCTTTGTTCTGCCCACTCCTATGAGAATACCGATCCCATTCGAGCCCATAGTCACCGGATCAAAGGCTCATTGCCTGAGTGAAGACAGTTTAATTCCTCCAGAAACGGGGCCTGTTTCGAAATCGTGGAAGAACGCACGCCAGCTTTCTCTGTCCAGGGGCGACGTAAGTAAATCCAACACCCCATACAGACGGTAGCTACGAATTGAGATATCACTAACACAACATCTCCCATCAGGCTTGTACAGCATTAATTTCTACCGGAAACAATACAAACCAACCATCATGGGTCTTGTCAAAACGGTTAACAAGGGTAAACATACGCTAAGGTCGCTGAAAGGGAGTTAAGTTACGCAAGTCCTCTGACATGCTGTAGATGCCAGTTGTGGCTTCGAAGTCACCTTGCTTTAGTGCTCAGATTCAGCACTGGACCCAAGACCGATACCGATACCGAGGCTTGCACGCAGTTATTATTTTCTTATCGCTTGCTATACTTTTTGACATCTTGTTACTCTTTGCCCACCTCGTTACACCCATCGCCAATGAACGTCCATGTACAAGGTTTGACCTACTCAGTACTAGAATAGATTTCGCTTATTAACCTCTTCCCAGACTTTGTCAACTTCAGATTGCCTCATTGTGCTGGAAGCCGATTACACTGCTTATATCTCACGTTTCGGTGACAAAAAAGATAGATCTGCTCAAGTACCGTGTAATGCATGTGTCGCTATGGCACATCGTAGCCTTATTATGGTGCATCTTACCGTTATCCTTCCCAGCACTAATGATAGAACCTTTTCTTAACCGCGAGGGGAATGATACAAAGGACTGGTTTCGTTCATGGGGGGTCTTGCACACGGTCATATCAGGTGTTTCATGTTTTTTTCTCACATTATTTCTCCTACCTGTAACAAGTACTAGACTCCGGCATAATGATGAGAAACTCGGCTTAAGTTATTAGTTATTACATGAGCAAAACCTAGCTATTTCCAGATAATGAGCTCTCTGCTACAATTGTCCTACAGGTAACCGCAATAAACAAACCTTAGACCATCTTTACATACTACTGCTATCTCTATGCCCTTAGAAAGGTCCTTAGATATTCAACCTCAGAGCTATAGCAAATATCTTCCTCTATCTTAACAACTAAAGGTTTAAACAAGGCGGTAACAAGTTATCTGGCAGCAGTTATATAATCCTTCAGTTACTATTAATTAAGGCAGTCTATAGAATATTCCCTAAATCACTACCTTATATATTAACATTTACTCCCTTATTTAGTAGTAGTTATATAACCTTTTACTTACTATTAAACAAGGTAGCTTATAAAGTATTACAATAGTTAGTATCTGCTGTTTGGGACAAGAGCTGACCGAAATGGAGGGGCGTGGGAGTAAAGGAATGGTCTCAGCGTTTAGTATAACTGTCTCCAACGGTGTTACGGCTGATAACGGTCGATACGCCAAAACGGTGGAAAGCGGAACCTCTCGAGGCCGGTTCTCAGAGCTGTCAGGCATGATCACGTGTACGCACCAAACCGGGATAACATCGGCGAATCTCTGGAATCTTTTGCTAAGACCTGGCTTGACTAAGAAAGACTCCCCGTCCGCTCTCCCATAGTCAAGCCACTAACCGGCGGATTAGTAGTTGGGTCGGTGACGACCAGCGAATCCCCGCTGTTGTATGTTTTTGTGAAGCTCGCCTTTTTGCCATTTACTGCATGCATGTCAGACTTTATCAACGGGAGCAACCGCTAACCTGTCTTTCAATTTTTGGATCTGTTCAACTGGAGGTTGTCACTAGCATGGAGCTTTGGCTTCACCTATCGCCAACATCATTCGGAGAGACTCACAGCCCGCCTTGTCCCACCTCTTCATCGACTTGCCATTTTTCCATGACCGCTCCAGTTGATTCCGTGAACAGAGTGAGGTATATATATTCTCATCGAACCAATCCGTAAAGCTGGTTGATCGGCATGAGCAAAGCTGTCTCAACAGCAGTACAGGCAAGAAACCCTTTAAAACCACCAGAAGACATAGTGTCCAAGGATCCAGGCGCTTAACGTTATGTTAACGTTATCGTAACGTTATGCATCCTTTAACTGACATAATCTTCAGCGTTGTTGATGGACCTCATCATCGTTGAAAAGGTATTTAATGTCAAATTGCTTGACAGGATGGCGGATGAATATCAACTCTTCATTTCTCATTTCAGACGATCACGACCATCATGACTGAAAACAGACAACGCAACGTACTTGTTACTGGAGCCAATGGTTATATCGGCTCAGCAGTTTGTCGAGCCTTTGTGAGAGCAGGCTGGAATACCTATGGTCTCATCAGAAATCCACAAGCTCGAGAGGAACTTGCACTTTCTGAAATTATTCCGGTAGTGGGATCTTTCACTGATCTCAGTTTCCTGGAAACACTCTTCGTAGAGGTCAACACTTTCGATACAATAGTCAGTTGCACGGAGAAGATACCAGGCTATGCTGCACACTTCGGAGAGGTTATGGCTTGTGTCAAGAGACTGGCTGAGAAGAGCAACGAAAACGGAGTCCGACCTCTGGTTCTCTGGTCGTCTGGCTGCAAGGACTATGGCAAGACTGGACTGCACGGCACCCCTGGTCTTGTGCCTCATACTGAAGCGTCGCCATTGAATGTACCAGAGATATTGAAAGAGCGCACGACAAACTCTGCCAAGGTCTTCAACTATACGGAGCTCTTTGATGCGGCGGTCATCAGACCAACATGCGTCTTTGGATATTCAAACAGCTACTATGGCGCTATATTCGACTATGCTGCCGATCAGCGAGGAAAGGGATCCGAGGTTCTTCGGATTCCCGGAGATCCTAACAGCATCATGCACGCAACTCATGTTGATGATTGTGGCAGGGCCTACGTTTCTCTTGCGGAACTTGACGATCGACGAGCCGTAGGCTGCCAATTCTTCAATGTGTCTGGCTATCGTTACGAGACACTCGAAGAGGTTGCAGGAGCTTTAGCCAAAGAGTACGGTTTTGACAGAGGGGTTCAGTTCGTCCCAGCTTCTGAGGCAGAGCCATCATTTCCGCCAGGACTGCATTTCGTCTTCAGCTTCAGTCAATGGGTAGGAAGTGACAAGCTGCGGTCTTTGACGGGATGGAAAGATAAACGAGAGTTGTTTTCAAAGGGGATACACGCTCATAGGCTGGCCTACGAAGCCTATAAGGGCCGGGGCAATGCCAATGTCGCTGAAATACAGAAGAGGATTGGAGTGAACTTTAATGCAGAGAATTAACAGGGGCTCAAAAATTAGTAGCTTGGGACGATCAAATGCGACTCGGCATCTAGAAGCCGCGACTAGCCCTGTGAGCTCGGGAGGTACGGAAACAGCTGTAGAATGACGTAAGGGAGAGACAAAATGAACAAAAACGAATTTATTCGGATCGCAGGACTCAGCTATTCATGTGATACTTACCAGGTTCTTAGTGGAAGAATCTGAGTCATTTCAACGATATTCTTATCAGCACCTCGGCACCTCTGGAAGACCCAATTCAACTAAAGCACTAATGAGGCAGGCAGTTGATCACTATTCAAAGCCAAAGCCAATGCAAAAGGGTCAGACAGAGTTTGGTCTAGACCAGCCTAAACCATCCCTGACCAGTCAATCTCCTGTACCGTCTGACATTGCATCGTGCTAACGTTTAGTAGATGTCCAGTCGTATCAAACATTTAAATCTTACCTCGACCCCACAAATGACTTCAAGCGCAATGGAATGCCAATCTCAACGTCTTTGGCCTAAACGATAACGAGCGTGCCTCGGCTTGTATCAAATATCTTTAATTGACCTCTTCAACTTCATCACCCTCCCCTACACCCACCAGAACCCTACAAGATGGACCTCAGTCGCATCAAGTCCCATGGACTTGGCCATGTCGCGATTGATGACAGTGACACCGACAATGGCCCTTCGGGCAATGTCATCGACGATGGTCGCGTCAAAGTTCAATTCCACGACACTCCCCAAGCCCTGGCCCAATGGTGCGAACACCTAAAGGAATCCTTCGCGGGTGATGGAGCAGATTCAGAGCATTTACTACCGCCGAAGCCGTCAAAACCGCGTCGAACAAGTACCGTCGCCTTCCTCCCAGGTGTAGAGAAGCCAGCCGAAGGCCCGCGACTAAATATTGCGATCCATATCGTGGGCTCTCGAGGCGATGTCCAACCATTTATTCCGATCGCACAATTGTTGATGAAGCCTCCCTACGGTCATCGAGTACGGATATGCACGCATGCTAGTTTCAAGGAGTTTGTGGAAGCACAAGGTGTTGAGTTCTTCAACATTGGGGGAGACCCCGAAGCTCTCATGGCGTATATGGTCAAGAACCCTGGATTATTACCGAACAAGGACAGTCTCAAGGAGGGTGATGTTGGGAAAAGACGAAAAGAAATGATGGAGATTATCTCTGGTACCTGGAGGAGTTGTATCGAGGCAGGTGATGGAATGGGAGATCCTGTGAAAGCGGCGAACGTGGAAAACGTTGATGATCTGTTCCTTGCGGATGTTATTATTGCCAATCCTCCATCAATGGGTCACATTCACTGCGCTCAAAAGCTCAATATTCCATTGCACATGGTCTTCACAATGCCTTGGTCACCTACCAAGGCTTTCCCCCACCCTCTGGCTGCTATGAGCTACGGAGATGCCGACGCCAAGGTCGCCAACTACCTCTCTTTCATGATGATGGAGCTTCTAACATGGCAAGGGTGAGTATCTCGGTCCCCCTTTGATTCATTGATTGACAATCTTAGGCTGGGCGACCTCATCAACAAGTTCCGCCGTCAAACACTTCACCTCGATCCCATCAGTCCAATGTGGGGGTTCCAGCTTCTCTCCAGACTTCGCATTCCATACAGTTATCTCTGGTCACAAACTCTGATACCCAAGCCTTCTGATTGGGACGAACACCTAAACATCACGGGCTTTTCTTTCCTACCACTCGCGAGCTCTTACACGCCCCCAAAAGATCTTCTGGACTTTCTTGAAGCAGGACCTCCACCAATTTACATCGGTTTCGGATCGATCGTTGTTAAGGATCCGCAAGCGCTCACGAATATGATCTTGAAGGCAGTCGAGCTCGCGGGGGTTCGGGCGATCGTGTCGAAAGGATGGGGCGGCGTCGGAGTTGGCGAAGTCCCCGATAACGTCTATCTCATCGGAAATTGTCCGCACGATTGGCTTTTCCAACGAGTATCGGTCGTTGTTCACCACGGTGGCGCCGGTACAACCGCTGCCGGTATAGCGGCCGGACGCCCGACCGTCATCGTTCCTTTCTTCGGAGATCAGCCTTTCTGGGGTCAGATGATGGCTCGTGCCGGCGCAGGGCCTGTATCAGTGCCCTACAAGGAGCTAACAGCGGAAATACTGGCCGACAGTATCAAGTTTGCTCTCAAGCCAGAAGTGCAAGAAGTCGCTAAGGATATGGCTATTCAGATTGGCGAAGAGGATGGAGCTGGTGGTACTGCTCAGGATATTCAGGACCGTCTTGACATTGACAGCCTTCGTTGCGACATTTCTCCTGATAGGCTGGCGAGCTGGCTTGACCGCAAGACAGGAGCGCATCTCAGTGGTTTCGCCGTCGGTTGTCTCATAGATGCTGGGCTCCTCCAGTCACAGAATCTCAAGCTACTCAGGCATAGACACTGGTACGTGGATGAAGGAGCCGAATACCCTCTTGTCGGTGCCGTAGCCGCCGTGTCAGGCTTCGCCTCAGCCATAGGAACCGCCACATCCGATTATGCCGAACGCCTAAGGAATTCCCCAGGTCGTGGAAAGACAAGGCGCTCCAACGTCGACGACACGCAAGAAGGGGTCTTGACAGATCCTGAAGAAGTCAAGACGGGAGAAGCCCGGCTCCGAAAAGGTCCACGCGGTGCAAATCAGAAAGATATGGAAATACTGGCGCGGAAAATGGCAACTAAGACACTCAACGGGGCAGAACCTGTCTTCCTTACTCCCAAACTGCGTCGACCTGTTACAGGTCTTCACCAGAAGCATAAAAAGGCATGGAGGGCCCATGAAGGCGGCAGAAATGGACGCGTCTTCTATGTTACACGTGTGACAGGTAAATACGTAGGCGACCTCGCTGCAGCCAGCGCAAGAGCGCCCGTGGCTTTCTTCTACAACGTCGCCAATGGGTTCCACAACGCCCCATCTAATTTCTGGAATGTTGAAGTTCGTCGTCGTGATGAAATTACAGGACTGGGTAGTGGACTCAAGGTTGCGGGCAAGGAGTTCGTCTTGGGCTTTTATGATGCTTTCAGCGGAATCGTGACAAAGCCTTATGAAGATACCAAAGCGAGGGGAATAAAGGGTCTCGGAAGAGGGTTGCTAAGAGGTGGATTTGGGATTTGTGGTAACTTGGGTGCAGGTAAGTCACTGTCATTTCCTCAAGCCCCAGAGACATAGTTGCTAACCATGTCAAAGCATGCTTTGGTCTTCCAGGATATGCTCTTAAGGGTCTCGAGAAGGAAATGATGAAGCACACAACGACGCCTCTAAAAGCAGAGCTATTGCTGATCAGGCTGAGGCAAGGCCATCAGGATTGGCAGAGAGCGACGGAGGGGGAGAGGGAGGAAGTTGTAAGAAGATGGAAGGCGTTGAAGCTATAATTTTTCTCTTATGTTAAAAGACTTGGCATATACG